AGACAGGGTCTTTCACTAACCCTGAAGTTCACGATTTGTCTAGGCTGGTTGGCCCAAGAACTTCAGGGATCTGCCTGTCTCCACCTTCCCAGCTTCCAGGTTTGGGGTTAGAGGCACAAGCTGCTATGCCTAGGTAATTCCCTCATGTCTAGAGACACAGATTCTCATGCTTAAACATCAGGTACTTTGCCAAGCCTATGCAGTCTATTTTACAGCATGAATTAAAAAACATGTTACATTTGTACTTTTGTCTATTTGACTCAACGTTTGAGGGATGCTATGTGTGCCATGGCACATGCATGGAGGTCAGAGAAAGCAGCGTTTGAGGTAGAATCTGAAGGCAGTTTGGGCTTCCAAGGACAAGGCTTGAAAATGGAATGAATGTTCCAAGACTAGTGTTTATAGTTAAAAGAAAGTGCGCTCCAAAAGCTGTTAAAATGCTAGTGTTGCCGAGGAGACAGTGTCATAACACAATGTGGGAGAGCTAATGAGAACCACATAACAGACTTATTCACTCAGTGAAGGGTTCACATCTTGCTCTCAAGATTCAAGATTCATGAGACACTCTTAAAGAATTTAGAAAGCAAGCGTGACCTAACCAATCATCTTTCTTGTTCTATTTGGCTTGGAGTTTCTTCCTGTTATTGCTAAAGATAAATAATAATACAGATAAATAAAAGATTTCAAATGTCTTATGTAACAAATTATTATATAATATGTTAAAAGTAGTCTTAACAATACAGTGCTGTCAGATTTCAGAACAATAAAAAGGAAAAGTAAGACATGAGCAGATCAAAATTGAAAATGTTTCTCTTATTTTTAAGCAGCCTAAAATATAAAACCCAGGAATCAAACCAGTGCACTAATACTTATATCCTGACATTAACCTGTACTGGCATCTAATTCTGGTTCTTTGACTGTTTCTTAAGAACTTCTTCCTAGCAGAGGAACTATTGGTAGTTAACAGCAACTGGGAGAATTAGCTTTTCTTTAGATGCTAGCCCCTGGTAAGTTGACTTCATGCCAGTGGAAGCCCATCTATATAAGAATATATGGGAAGTACAAATTGAACTTAATGGGCAAAAAAAAAAAAAAAAAAAAAAACGGACTCAAAAGTTGGGTGAGTGGAGAAGGCTGATTGATCTGGGAAGAGTTGGGGAAGGGATGAATATGATCAAAACATGTATGGAATTCTCAAAGAGAATATTAAGTAATAATTTTAAAAGAATAACTGAGGACATGAATAAATGTTGAATACAAAATTTTATAAAACATTTTTATAAAAAGGTTTTAAAAATCCCAGAAGCTTAGGAGATAGTATACAAACCTCTGGACCTGATCTCATGCACCCAAATACAACCACACCTATAATAAAAGTCAGCATAGGCCCAGAGCAGAGTGGCAAAGCAGAAGAGCCTTGAAGCTTGCTGGTCAGCCAGTCTAGCCAAAATGCTGAGCTCCAGATCACTGAGAGACCCTGTCTGAAAAAATAAGGTGGAGAGGAAAAGAAGTATAGATGCCTAAAGCCACCCCGTGGCTTACAACATATACACTCAAACCTAAAAATGCACATGCACCACACACTTCCATATACCACACAAGAACAATTACAAACTATGCATTCAGGAATGGTTTTCCTTTTTAAGGGAGCCAGAGGGATAGCTCACTTGGTAAAGGTGCTTGTGGCTAACCCTGATGACCTGAGTTCAATCCCAGGTCCCATTGTCCTCCACATAGGCACCATGGCACTGCCATCTCCTACACACAAGATAGATGTAGTTTTAAAATAAAAAGATAGGATGCATAGAAACAACTAATATCATATCTCTTGTTCTAAACACCGTACTAGTGTTATCCATAGAAGTCATTATAGTGTCTCAAAGAACAGTACTGTTGATATCATTATGAAGCTAGAAGGTGGTACAGCTACCTAACTGAAAGCTACATTTTATCTATGGTGCTTACTTCCTCTGTTGAGGAACTCCGTAAGGTAACAGTGAGTAGGATAGAATAAACAGAATGCTTACATCAAGGGAAAACGTTAAAGACTTTTCCCTTTGGGCGTAGGGAGAATACCCTACAAGCATGCTTAAGGTGAAAATCAAGAAATGACCTTAAATGGAATCTTTTCTGACTAGCTAATCAGTTCAGGGTTCTGTGGCTTACTTCTATTCTCTACCTATCTACTATATGGATATCTTATGCGTGAGATGTATAACAATTTATAGAAACTGAGAATAACACAGAAGCCTACAAAGGTTTTTGTTTTTCTAATTCCTCAAAGTGCACCTATTCAAATGCATTTTCATTCAAGATAGTGGTAAAACAACAAATTGGATGCAAAGATAAAAAGGGCTATAGAAATTTAGAATAAGTAGATTGTTAACTACTTTCCCAAAAAGAATATGTGCACGTGAGCTTTGCCGTGTGAATGACTACTATGACTAAGAGTGAGGAACCTCCTCACCTATTCAGAAGTGATGACAAGTGGATAAAGCAAGGCAGAATTGAGGTAGACAATCTACACCAGGAAGCAAACATTTAAGGAAAGAAAACTAAAGTCTGGAATGCAATGAATGGTGTGTGAGAAGGCAGAAAAATGTTATTAATGTGGGTCCTGGTGGTGTTTCTAGGGATTCTCTTTTTTTGTTTTGTTTTGTTTTGTTTTGTTTTTTTACAGAACAGTTATTCACAACTTTTAGGACAGAGAAGTGATAAAATGGTTCTAAAAATGTTACTTCTAAAACCATATGTAAACAGAAATGAAGAAAGGTTTCAGGGCTGGGGGTAGAACAGTGATAGCATGATGGGGGAAAGAGAAATAATGGGACAGGAGGGGTCAAGTGGGGTGGGAGATGGGAGAGAAGGGAGTATGGGGAGGGATAACTGACATTAAGACCTTTAAAATGTCTTATAGAAACCTGAAGAATCCTCCAAAATTACACACATGTACAAATGTAAAAGTTTAAATGGTGCTACCCTGTAACGGGGTCATCTCTTTCCCAGATACCATAGCCCATTAAATGAAAAGACTAGTATCAGATGTGGGTTGCCTCTCTTTGAGTTATTGGCCAGTGAAGTACTATAGGACCGCCCTACCCCCGTAACCCCCCCCCCCGAAAAGACGTACAAGCTGTTGCTATTGATTTTGGTTACCTTCTAGACTTTGATTAAAAAAAAATTCTGTTTTTCAAAGATGCTACATACTTGATTCATAGGATATGAAAAAATCAAATTGATGCACAACTGAAAGTTCTATCCTTGCTGGCTAATTTTCATAGTTCTATGCATGCTACTGACAAAAGTCATTAAAAGTCTTATTCAGCTATGAACACTCGGAGCTATGGTAACCACTGTCTTGGCAAAATAGGTCCACTGATGTAATAGTGGCACAGATCTTATGAGATTAACCAGCAATATTCTGGCTGGATTTAAAGCCAACACAACAAAATGTAATATGCGCCTAGTATTGTTAACTCGGCCAAATCCCATAACTGACTAGTTCATGGTCCCTAGGGGACAACCCAATGCTAATACTCTAACTGGACATAGCAATAAAATATCCCCTATGCTCTTATCTTTATACCCATAGATTAGCACATCTCTCAACCCTCATCAGAGAAGCTGCTTTTTGGAGTAGATGATTAACATGGAGATCCACAGCTGATCATCCTGCAGAGACTAAGAGACTGTGGGGTGCTCAGCTCTAAATGAGACATCTGTATCAGACCTCCTCACCCTCAGGCTCAGGAATCATTTTAGAAGAGCAGGTGAAAAATCGTAAAAGTCAGGGGTCGTGGACTTCTGTAGTAAAGCCATATGTGACAGACATTAGGGAGTCATTGAACACATAAACCTGAGACTGCATGCATAATAATAACTTCAAGCTAGCCAAATTACCAACATGAAATGAGAGGGAGGGTCGTGGAATCTCACTCCTGGTTCAGAGTTAATAGTAACTGATGGAGACTGAGGAAGAGATCCATTTGTATAAGACCCCTGAGAGGCTACCCATGATCCATTAGATAGTCCTATACCCCTGCACAAACACCCAGCACTTAGTGGACTTGCCTACTAAAAACAGCACATGGAGTAAGGAGGGAAAGGTGATCAGGGGTAAAGAGGTAGGGGGAGGAATTAGAAATGGGGGTGGATTAGACCAAAATAACGTATGCATGGATGCATCTATAAAATTCTCAAACAGTAATGTAAAAAGACTTCAGAAAATATTTGGGATTACAATTATATGACACAGTAAATAGAATTAAAGCTGCTGTCCGGAGGTGTAGCTGTAGGAATCTAAGATACATTGCAAAGATAGAAGGATAGAATATAGTGTCTAATCGTGGGTTTAATGTTCTACCAAGGGTAAATGAGGCTTAATTTATCACTTTTGATAACATATACTGATTTTTTATGCCTCTGATTTTTACATTATGCTAAAGTTATATCCCAAATCAAGAGATGTGATAGGCTAGCATAGTATTATTTAAATTGAAAACTATGTCATGATGCTTTTTTAAAATTATAATACAAATCTGCAAGGCTTAAATGACAGTCAGGCCCCAGCTGGCTGTTAGTGCTTGGTCGTTGTCATTGAATAGCTGCTGAAGTATTGCTCCTGTTGGAACACGTTGCAATAAAATGTGCAATGTAATGGCATGCCAATAAAAGGGAAATGTGTTTTGAGCATGGTGGAAGCTTTTGAGGACCTATTGCTTGTTAAACGAAATTTGTAATAGTATAAATTTGAAATGTTTCTTACATAGTATTGTCTTCAGAATATTATCTTCCACTGCTGTGTCTTCCAGGAATCCTCCAAAGCAGTTCCTGAATACAATGTCACTTACAAATGTCAAAAAAGTATTGCTTCATTTTCATCACATCTGGATTTTATGCCATATATATGAAAGACATTTAAAAATAGTCCATGTCGAAATGTAAAACCATCTATGCTTTAAATTGGAAAAACTAAAAAGAGATTCACTTTTGTTTTGCAGTGATCGGCACGTTGGTAAAATTTATTCCAAATGTTCTTCCTTTCTGGATTATGTCAGAATGTCTCTAAAGAAGCTTGGATTAGATGAGTCCAAGGTCAGTGTATGGTTACCTTTTATTTTCACAAAAACAAGAATTCTTGATAGGGTAGTGGATTGAGGCAATACAAAATCATTTGCTTTCTGCTTTTCTCCCTCCTATAAAAACTCTAAATTATATTGAAATTAAGCCTCTGTTACCTTTTTTTGCAATTCACCTTTCCTGCCAAATCTATAGTTTATTATTGTATATCACCAAAGCAACTCTTTCTTAGGGATTTTTAGTTAAAAGAATGTTTAATTTCACTAAATAAAATAAGGTTAAAAAAGCAGAAAACTATAAATGGAAATTAGAGTTGAATAAAGAAGAGATGATTAATTTTTAAATTATTTATTTGCAATTTTATGGATAATTATAACTTTCAATATTAAATTTAGAATGCCTCTAACTGTGAGCATTCTGGTAAGTTGGAACATCACAGTAGCTATGACCTAACATTGTTGATAACATCATTGAGGTAAATAGTATGCTAACTGAGTCATAAAAAAACTCAATATAATTCAAGTTATACAATAACTAAAATATTAAACTGAACAACCATTACACTGGCATACTAAATTGATTGTAAATTGCAAAATAATAATATATCTTTTAGTCTCTTTTCTGGTTGCTGTGGTAAAATGCCCTAACAAAAGCTTTAGGAAAAAAAGATTAATATCAGCTCACACCTCCAGGTACATCCTTCCATAATAGCAAGATCATGGTGGTAGGAGATTGAGGAAGTTGGTCATATCATATCCATAATCAAAGACAGAGAGCAACAAATACATCGGGTCATTTTCTCCACTGTTCTATGGCTCAGCATCCCCTGCCTACGGAATGGTGCTACCCACAGTGCATGCGTCTTTCCACCTCAGTTTTTTCAATGTAGTCAATAAAATCCCCATAGACATGCCGGGGGACCACTGTGATGTAGAGAATCCTGCACCAGGACTCTGCCCACATGCTTCCGGATTATGTCCATTGATCGTTAAAACTCACTATCACAATATGAAATCATTGTTTTGAAAGAGGAAACTTACACAGACATAATTATATTGCACCCAAATTGAAGTGTATGATTGTCCACTGTACTGTTGTCATTTTGGTCTTATTATTTATTTCTTAAAGCAACTAGACTAGTGGTAGTTTTGTTGCTTTATCCCCTATCAAATAGTTATAAAAGCTGCACAATTTAGGAATAAATGAGAAGATACATGTCAAACTCATCCTATATTTATATGTAATTGCTGACTGCATGACACTACTTACTGCTTATCTCTACTGGTATATTATTAGTAATGACATAGTTGATAGAATTCTTATAAATATTTTTACTTAATAAAATGAAGCCAGTTTTGTGTGGATGATTAAATGTGTTGTTCACTGTGACTTACTTAAACTGAAAATGTTCTGTCCTTTCCAAAAATGAAACATAAACGTCCAGAAGGATTAATATTTATCCTCCTTTCTGACTTTGTCTTCACAAGTTTATTATTATTAATAGTAACCACAGTAAAGTTTCTTTCCTGCATCTGTTAATATTTAATTATTAGGATATTAATTATAGTGAACATTTACTAAACACTGTATGATAGATGCTATGCTAAGGATATCACGTTGCTTTGTTTACTCTTCACAAACAGTTACAGTAGACAGCTGAAATCATAAGGCAAGCCACTGATTCCCTCAAACTGGAGGGAAATGGGGGACTTCACATAGAGGAGCAAACTCCGAAGTAGAAGTTTGGTAGTAAACAAGAACCACAGTAAAAAAATCTGGCAACTTACCAGAGGCTCGGTGTGGACAGTTGTGAGAATGAAACACTAGAGGTGTGCAGATTATTTTAAGGGGTTGCCACACGTTTGTGAGTTTTGCCTCTGAGTATAACCTAGTTCTGATGAGCAGTGAACAGAAAGCCCCTCATTCTTGTGGCAAGGGAAGTGAAAGAATGACCAGTTAAATAGTCAGTATATTCCATTTGTACCGAAACCTACTTTTAGAGACACCATATTTAACTAGAACCTGACTGCTATAGTTTTATCCACACCTAACTGCAGAGGGGACAGGAAATACCCAGCATCAGTCAAAGCTGTCAATTCTGTCCCACTAAGAGGAAATGAAAATACTAAGAAGTGCTGGTGAAGTTCATAGTCAAGAAGCAGGCTCAGTGACAGACTAAGATCCAAGCATAAGAATACCAAATCTTTGTTACCATCACACTTCTAATGACACTTTCATAACCACTTTTTTACGTAGTATGTCGCTTTTGAGTACCAAAACTTTGTAAGGCATACTGAGGACAATAAACAGTTTGAAGAGATGGAACTCATCTCTTCAAACCACATTGAGATATGACAGGTACAGTGGACATGTTAATCTGCAATTGCAAATAGAGTCATATGCCAAAAGTTTGATTTAATAAACTGGATCTCACCCAAGAGTAGATGGACAGTGTAAGCAGAGAGATTTTGGACAGTCTTAAGATAAAACTTTAAAAATAGATTTTAGAAGTAGTTCAGAATACCCAGGCAACAAGATTACAAAAGTCAGAGGTGGTGGATCCTCCAAGGAAACATTGTCTTATAGACACAACAGTACTGATGCACATATAAACTCACATGGACTGTGACAGCACCTACAAGACCTGCAAAGGTTCAGTCTAGAAAAATCCCCACACAGAGAAGAAGTGGGCACCTCTAACCTTGTAGCTATTTGCAGTCGATACTGCTGGGAAAGGAAAAACCTCTACAGTGGGGTGTCAGCCCCCTCTGCAGCAGGCAGCACGCTTAGAAGTGGTTGGACAACCCAAAACAGACTCCATGTTGTGTGTGTGTCTTTGTGTGGTCAGGGGGTTGGTGGACATTTTGTTTCATTTTTTTAAAAAATTATAAGCAATTAAGATAATAAAATTAAGCAAAGCAGGGCATATAGACAATGTATAGGAAATCATTTTCCTTGATACCAGCAATGAACAAGTTGAATTTGAAATTAATATGCATCAGCATTTAAATGAACACTCTCCCCCAAAGTGAAACTATATAGATTTCCTAATAGAATACAGACAAAATGCCTTTAAGATAAGAAACAAAACTGAGAGATAATAAAGTAGAGAGATAATCTATGTTCATGGAAAGCAAGAGTCACTGTTCTTAAGAAGTCAGTACTTCCCAACTTGGATCTATGTTTCATGGATCTAGGAACAGCCTGAACTGTTCATTCATATACATATATATGCAAAAGAATCAAATGAGCTAACAGTAGTATATGAAATCAAAGCTTAAGGATTGTTACTAGGTAACTAAGATTGACTATAAAGACAAGATATAGACAAATGGATCAAAGAACAGAATTGAGAGCCTGGAAATAGACCCACACTGATGAAACCAGGTGGTCTTTGGCGAAGTGGCAAAGACAGTACAATAGAGCAAAGAACCTCTTTTTTTCCACCATGAAGTGTTCAAACAATAGGACACACACAAGTAGAAAAGCAAATCTAGAAACAAACTTTACATCTTTCCAAACTCAAAGTGAATTATTATTAATGTAAAATACTGGTCTATGATAATACTAGATGATAGTAGGAGAATATGTATTTTGATAAACAGATTTCAGGTAGAACAGCAAAAGTCAAAATTTCTGGAAGTTACCTAGATCCATAAAAGCTGCTGGGGATCTAATATAAAGGGCAGCCCTGGACAACGACGCTGTATAGATGTAGATTCATCACTTACAGCATAATAAGTATTTGTGTATAACTTTATTTCAAAAAAGTTTTCGCATGAAATTCTAAATGCTTTGTAAAATCTAATTTTTAAATATATCAAAAGACTTAAAAGACCTTTAATTAAATTCTTAATTGTTTATTAATGATATTCCTGTGGAACTGAATGTGCAGTGAGATGTGCACTTAACAGTTTAGGCCAGTGAACTGCCTAGAAAATCTCCTAAACTCTGCTTAAGTTCTAGTAACAGGAAATTACATTAGACATGAAAGAAAACCAAAGATTCCCAGACACCTCTTTTCAGAGGCAGCCAAGGCTGCATATGCTGGATTCACAGTGACTCTCACACAATGTGAAGGGTTTCTCCCTAGATCTGTAGTCAGTTGTGAAGGTCAACAGTGGACTTTGCTCTCAGAGCCTTTTTCAAACTCAGCACCACTGGCGTTTGGGTCTTAATTTGTAGTGAGAGGCTAGACCATGCATTCAGCAGCATCTCTAGACTCTGCCCACTAGATGTCAGCAGTAGCACAATAATTAAAACTTTGGCAATTGCCAAACTTGACCCCTGCTAAGAATCACTGATTTTGAGCAGTGGGTTTTTTTTCCTTTATGATTTCACTTGCTACCACCTAATAGTCGGTTTTAAACAGCCATTTTCATCAATGCATATGGGAAAGGAAAGGACAATTTGCAGTGGTTGTAGTATACTGTTTTTATGCTTGAAGACTTATTATTTAAAAAAAAGATCCCTTCTTTGATCTTTCATTCTGGTTAGTTGTAGTCCCCATGGAGTGATGTTCCTTGACACCCTTCATTAAATATAGACTATTTTAAGACATATTTACCATTCTCCAGGAAAGTTAAGCCTACATATGAACCTCTGAGAACAATAACTTGTGGAACAATGTCAAGTACCTTGTGACAAGTAACAGGGTTCTCTTTGGAGGCTGAGTAGGATTTCACTGTGTGTGTGTGTGTGTGTGTGTGTGTGTGTGTGTGTGTGTGTGTGTGTGTGTGTGTGTGTTACACATGCACACAGATACCACAGTATTTTTTTCATTCCTGTCAGGGAAACTAGCTTGTTAACGTATGTTGACTCTTAGGTATAATACTGCAGTGAACATGCGAGTATAGATATTTTTCCAATGTGGTGATTTCATTCCCTTTGGGCATTTTCCCAGAAGCAATGTGGAGTCTCAAATCTTAATAATTCAATTCCAAGTAAGGAGGAGGGGGAGGATGAACAGCCCCTCATAATTTACCTTTCATTTTCTAAAATAAAATCAAAGTATCTATTTACTTCCCTTAAAATTCAAGTTCCCAAAGATTAGTTGCATACATAATTTCATGGTTTCAAAAGCTAATATGTATATAAGTTCTATCCTCTCTGTTTCTTCATAGAAACAGTGTCAATAATCTTTTGAGAAATAGTACGGTAAGTTTCTCAGTCAGCCTAAGAATACCATGACTGCTTGAGCCTCTTTGTCTTTCTCTCTCCGTACTCGGTTGGCGGGATTTAAGAAATTAACCTTCCCTCCAGAGACACCTCTTTTAATGCTTTTTGTTTCGTTTTCTTTCTTTTGATAGTTTATACAAAGAATGTTTTTTTTTAATTTTTTATTAGAATATATTTGTTGAACTAGTTGGTTTTACTAATGACATTTTTTGCTCAATATATTTTCTCTCCCTGTCACTTCCCTCTCTGTATTCCCTCCTGTTTAGACTCCTTCCTCTTCTCAAATAGTCCCCCTTAATTTTCATGTCTTATCTGTATTATGTGTGTGCATGTGTGGTACCTGTGTTCCTGTGTGTATGTGTATGTCTGTTAACTGGGTTTCACATCTGAGAAAAATGTGTGATATTTGTCTTTATGAGTCTGACTTATTTCATTTATGATGACCAATTCTGTTCATTTTCCTAAGAATGACATAATTTCATTCTACTTTACGTCTGACTAAAACTCCATTGTATATGTACACTGCCTTTTATCTATTTATGTGTTGATGAACACAAGCTTATTCTAGAACTTAGTTATTGCGAGTTGTGCTCCAGTAGTCATAGAACGTGTTCTGTTTAGTATAGTAACTTACATTATACTAAATATAATATGGTATAACTGGAACATGTGGTAGTTCTGTTTTTGTTTCCAACCCTATTTTTAGAATCATACTATTTTCAGACAGTTTGCCATCTATACCCTTTATTAGATGAAGCATAACCCTCCTACTCATAACTTGTACAGTCTGTGTGATACATTACACCTGTTAATTTATATAATGTTAAATCATGCTTGTTTTCCTCAAATGAAACCAACTTGATTATAGTGTATGATTTTTATAATGTATTCTTGATGTGTTTGCAAGTATTTAAAATAAGAGTTTTTATGTCTATGTATTTTTCATTTTCATTTAATTCTAAGAAGTTTTCAGTTTCCTCCCTAATTTCTTCAATGACCACCCCCTTGTTGTTTAGGAGTATATTGCTTAGTTTCTATGTGTTTGTAGAATTTCTGTAGTTTCTACTGTTATTTACCTCTATTTTACTCAGTTATTACCTGGTGACATATGAAAATTTACTTGATTCTTTTGTATTTTCAAGGCTTGATATAAGGCCCTAATTGTAGTTAGTTTTGAAGAAAGTTCCATGGGCTTCCAAGTGAATGATATATTCTGTAGCTGTTGCGTACAGGATCTCTTAGATGTATGCTATGTCCTTTTGATCTGTGACATTTTAAGTCTGCATTTTCATTGCTGAATTCCCATATGAATGATTTTCTGTTGCTGAAACTGGGGGATTGAGGTCACTCATTCATGTTATATATATAGGCCTAGCTGTTCTTTATACCCCATAGTTGGTTTTGTCAAAGTAAGTGCTACAACAACTGTGTATTTGTATTGAATTGTTTTTTCCTTCTCGATGAGCTGTACTCTTGAGTATTATATAGTGACCTTTCAACTGTGTTTTGTTTTCTTTCCTACTATCATTCTCTTGATACACACTACTATGTCCTTTGGTTTTCTGTGTGAGTCTTTATTAAGTTGTACCTTTTAAAACAACTGGATCTTCTTCTTTGATCCAGTCAACTGGTCTACATATTTTAATTGGAGTATTGAGACCACTAGCATTTATGAAGGTTATAATTAAGATATTTGCTAACTCCTGTTACTCCATTTCTAGTTGGTTCTGATACTGCTTCAGCATTTTGTTTTTCTTTCTCTCTTAGACATGTATTGATTACTGGATTGGAAATGTTTGATTCTATTCTAGCACTCATTAAATAAAAAGATTGATTTGAGTTGCATTGTGTGTGTGTGTTTATATGTTCATTTGCACATGGGTGCCTATGGAGGCCAGAAGAAAATGTTGGATACTCTGAATCTAAGTTACAAACAGTGGAGTCACCCAGCATAGGTGCTGGGAGCTGAAATCCAGTGCTTTGTGAGAACAGCAAGTATTCTTTATATATATATATATATATATATATATATATGTTTTATTTAAATTTATTTAAATTAGAAACAGTCTTATTCTACATTTCAATCCCAGTTCCCTCTCTCTCCCATTCTTCCATGCAGCCCACTGCCCCCATCACATCCCCCATCCACTCCCCAAGGAGGGTGAGTCCTTCCATGAGGGATCATCAAAATCTGTTAAGTCATTTGGGGCAGGGCCTAGGCTCTCCATGTGTATCTAGGCTAAGAGAGTATCTTTCCATGGGAAATGGGCTCCCGAAGTCTGTTCATGCAATGGGGAAACATTCTGATTCCACTGCTGTTGGGGAAGTCCTGTTATTTGTCAATAAAGTACTGTTGAGCCTATAGAAAACCTAGATAGGAGGGACTAGGAGTCGAGGAGGATTCTGGGAAAGAGAAAGACAAGAGAGTTTGAGATGTAACCGCCATTGGGGTAGGAAGCCTGGAAACCTCTCCGGTAAGAGACATACTTAGATTAACAATTATGGGGTAATTACTTAAGTCAGAGCTAGCCAGTTAGAAACAAGCAAGGCCAACAGCTTCATAATGAATATAGCCTCCTGTGTGTTTATTTGGGACTGATGTGGCTCTAGAACCAGGCTGGAGCGGCAGAGCCCAGGCGACTGGCGGGGGATAAACCAAAGCGGCTAGCAAAAGAAAAAGCTTCACTTAACACACTGCCAGAGGCCCCATAGACTGCCCAGTATTCTTAACCACTGACCCATCTCCAGCCCCATAATTCTTATTTCTTAATATGCTCCTCCTGAGATATATTCTTCCATGTGCTCCTGTGTTGTGCCTTTCTTCCACACAACATATTTATATTTAAGTACTTTCTGTAATGCTGGCTTAGTGCTGGTGAATTGCTTTCATTTGTGTTTATCTTGGAAAATATTTTCCATCAATTTTAAGCAATATTTGCTAGATAAAATATAATCTATTTTGACAGTTATTTGCTTTCATGACCTGAAATGTATCATTCCATGTGTTTCAGGTTTTTTTAAGCTTGTTTGTGTTTTTATTATTGTGTGTGTACACAATGGGAAGGGTAGATTCCTTGGTGCACACATGGAGATCACAGAAGAGTTTTGTGGGTCTCTCCTTCCACATCTGTGTGGGGCCCAGGGATTAAACTCAGGTCACCCACCAGCACCTTTACCCACTGAGCCGCTTCACTTAGTTTTTAAGCCTTCTGTGAAGAGGTATAATGTTGTTCTGGTGTGTTTGACATAGTAAGTAATGAGAATTTCTCGTGCTGCTTTGTTTCTTTTTTCCTAGTGTTAACATTTAAAAAAAAAAACGGTCTGTCTCTGAGAAGTGCTTTTCTGGCCATGTTGTCTACTTGGGGTTCTAAATTGTTCTTGTTATCCATCCCTATCTTTCCCCACATTTGGAAATTTCCTTGTTATAACTGCATTAAATGAGTAGGTTTTCTGCTTACCATAGTTCTTCACCTAATTCTGTATTGGTCAGTGGTATCTCAGCAACTTTGGTCTCACTATCTAGTGATGAGAAATAAGTCAGTTGTCAAGTCATCTGTCCAGATGTAAAGTGGAACAAACCTGTGAGCAACTGTACTGCTCTCATAAACTCCTCTGGCCTTCCCTTGCATTGCTTTATGGCCTGCCTTTGCTACTCCATAGTCCTTTCTGTAGATCTTTAAGAAAAACAAGAGATTAAAAATGTAAATCTCCCTTGAAAAATAATTTATGTATTATTTGTATTCGATACTTTGCTGTTGCCATGATGAAACACCATGACCAAGTATAGAAGGAAATGTTCATTTGGCTTATGGTTCCAGATTCTTCATGACAGGGAATTGTGGCTGCAATATTTCTTGAGCCTCAAACAGGAAATACACAGAGAAAACTGGGTATAGTGTGTGACTTTGAAATCTCAAAGCCTGTCCCAGTGATATACTTCCTCCAGCAAGGCTGCCTCTACTAAGCCTACGAGAAAGTCCCATCAATTAAGGACCAAGTGTTCAAACATCTAAGTCTATGGGGGACAGTCTCACTAAAACCACAATAGTCTATACTCAAAGACAGGCTAATTAGGTGTCGGCAGTACATAGTAACTTTCCTTTAAAGAGTAGGACTTGGAAATGGGACAAAAGAGGAACTCTCCAGTGAGGAAACCTGACAGACCCTGTCTCTAGCAGACAGTCAGTATCAATGCCAACAGGGACAAGTGATGTGAATATTGTGGACCCTTGATATGAGGGCGTGTAAGCAGTACTGTACTCCTGTATTCTTCCTCTTACAAGCCATAACGCTTCTTGATTTTTGAGGAAAAACATCTGAAACATACTAGAAGAAAGTTCTGTAAAATATATGACCAATATTTCCCAAACTGTTAAGGTCATCAAAAACAAGTCTGAGAAAGTGTCAAAGCTAATACAGCTATATGTTATGTGACATCCTGTGTTTGACTCTGAAACTGAAAGAGCACATTATGTAAAAGCCAAGGAAATCTGAGTATAGTATAGACTTTAGTTAATAATGTGTCAACATAAGTTCATTAACCAAAACAAATATATCACTGTGTAAGATGGAGAGATGGGAGGTGGGGAGAATCTGGGAGGAGTTGGGGTAGAAGAAAAGTATGATCAGAGTAAATTGTCTGAATTTATTTTTTCAAAAATAAAATACATTGTGAAAATTACCTATACTGTTATCAAAACCCAACTAAAACATGATTATTAAAAAAACGGGGGCTGGAGAGATGACTCAGGACGTAGGAGCACTTGCTGATCTTGTGGACGACCAGGTTTTGGCTCTCAGTATGTACATACGGTAACTTCAGTTCCATAGGATCTGTCACCTTCTTGTGACACTCACACACAGTTCACATACATGCACCCAGGCCAACATGAATGCACATAAAATGAAAATCAATCAACTAAAATACTTTAAAAATAGCACAAAAAAGCTAATGAATTTCTGCTCATGTAAATATTGTGCTAAAGTATTTCATAAATATTAATGATTAAAAATAATCGATGTGATTTTCATTTTATAGGTGAAGATTGAGATGTAAGTTAAGTGAACTTTATTTATTTTGGTGGCTTTGATATATTTTATTTTAAATACCTAATAAAGCCAGTGGAGATCTGGGTACATGAATTATGTTGTTCTTGGTTCAGGCTCAAGTGGATAAAACAACCCAAAACGTCCACAGACTTGGTCACTAATTTCTATGCAAGACTCTAAAGCCCTTCTAATTTTAATTACTTTTCCTAAATTCTCTTCAGCTACCTCTCTCGAAGTCTTCATTTTCCTACTTCTATTAGGTATGTTTTTAAATTTGTTTCTTTTATTGAAAATAAATTCCTTTTTCATACAGTATATCCGATTACAGTTTCCTTGTAGTTCCTCCTTCTTTCTTTCCCCTCCAAAGCCACTCCCTTTTTATCTCTCCTTAAAGAAAAAAAAGTCTAAGATATAACAACCAAATGTGACAAAATAAAACATAATAAGACAAGGTAAAACAATTGTATGTAAGTTGGAGTTAAGTGGATTTCTCGAGGCAAACTCTAGGTCATTGGGGAAGAAGTATTCTAGTTTAAAACAGCTAACGCCATAGGCCATATTCTTCATACTTACATAACATATTAACAGGCTTTGTTCACATGAAGAATGTTTGTTGGGCATGTTTCCAAAGCTGGCAGTTATCAAGCAAACAGGCTGCAAAGGAATAAAGAGGAAAATCGTGCTTGCCAACAGATAAATTTATTTCTAAAGCAGACTAAATATTAAGGTTTGAAATAAAGGCAGAAGAAATTCAAGAAGTTACGTTAATGAACAGTTAACAGATGCTTCCCTCCAAATCTTCACTCTTTCTTCCAGACAGGATGAATATGGTCAGGTGGATTGGGCAGTGACACTCAATACTGTCTAATGTCTAAACCCTGTTAAGAGATGGGATAGTTCGATAAATCCCAAGGAGGGTAGGATAGTGAATAAAGTGCCTGAGATGATTGTTCACTGTTTCCATTCCACTTTCTCTTCAGAACTGACCGTTTCTTTGACCATAATCAGTAAGTCTCACAAACCATTCAACTCATACTAGGGGCAGTTTCTAGAATGTGGAACAGCAGGAAACAATGGATTTACTTTGAGTACTTGGATCTGCCATGCAGTGTACATTCGATGTTCAGTGGCAACAAGGACAAGAACAGCACAGTTCACTTTTAAAGTGATTTTGTAATACAACATCAACCATTACTTCCCATATTTTTCTTTTCTTCTTCTTCTTCTTTTTTTTTTTTTTTTTGGTTTTATGAGACAGGGTTTCTCTGTATTGTTTTGGAGGCTATCGGTCCAGCCTGGCCTCGAACTCACAGAGATCCGCCTGCCTCTGCCTCCCGAGTGATGGGATTAAAGGCGTGCGCCACCACCGCCCGGCCCCATTTTTTTCTAAGTAATGCACTCATACGATACTCCCTCCTCACACTTGGGAGGCACTTTGTAGGTCATGTACAAGTCTGCATTCAGCAGCTGAATGATTGGTGTGTCAATTGTTTTGCATTTGTCAGCTTCTTAATGTCCGTTATTATCAGAATAATGATATAAATCATACATAATTGATGAAGCTGCATAATCAATAAAATGAATGCAAAGAAAATTGTTTTTATAAGGTGAATATCTTTGTGAAGTGCTACTTAAAGGGGACTCACCAGATGAAACTGCAGTCAAAATACATGTCAGAACCAGGCATGGCCGTACACCCTAGAATCCCAGCCCTTGGGAGGCCCAGGAAGGAGGACTACAAATCCAAAACCAGACTGGGCTACACATCAAGACATCATCTCATGAAACCA